AACGATTCAATACTCCCAATGGGATAGTCCTGCATATTTATTTGTATTTTATAAAATACAGTCACGATTTTCAATTTTAGAGGATCTTCTTTATTTAGGACTATCTTAAAATTATATTTTAAAATATGTGGATTCTGAACCCATAAAAAGATATTAATATTTAGAGTTCTAAATGCTCTATTCATGGAGCAAGAAAATAATTTTAAACAACGGATATGCTACTTTATTATTCTGTTATCACTCCAACTATTATAAATATTGGTACTGACATCAAAATTTATGTAAAATACTATCTTATCAATAAAAAAAATATTTTTTTTTAGTAAACAAAAGTATGATTAGTCACATAAAAATAATATGACAACAGATTATGAAAAAATCTTCTGATTGGTTACACGAAGAAGAATATTACTCGTTTGAAATTTTGGATTTAGTTTCTCTTGACATCTCATATGGGAAATGGAGCGTAAAGGAAATAATTTCTGCGTGATTGTGAAAGTGTTGAAAAAAAAAAAAAAAAAATAGGTAACTATTTTAACGTGTGGCATTCAGGAATATTTTTAAATTTAACTTAACAAGGAGCAATGACTATTCAGCTTTAACTTTTAGGGTAAAGATGGATTATTTCACTATTTGGCATTTTACCAACTCAGTTCTAAATTATTATTGAATATATGGAAAAGGATGAAGTATTAAAAATATATCAAGATATAGCGTTTTCAGAAACAATATTTCAATATTACCATAAATTTCATATATCTCTTAATCAATATTCGCACGATACTTCAATTACTTTTATCAACATAGAAAAAAAAAAAAGGAGAATCAGAAAAATTATTAATTTGTCAAAATATAAGAATTTATATTTAAAGTTATTGTAGGTTGAAAGGGCATAAATTAATATTGATTCTTAAAAAATGGTCAATAATAAATTTATTTTTAAATCAATGCGTGTCAGTATCATACCAATAACAGTTTCCTGCTAGTATGATCTAAAGCCAGACACCTCTCAGAATGAGAAGTGAAGAACAGAGAGGATTGTAGATCTTAATTGTTTGCTAAATGGCTTAACTAAAAACAAACATCTCGTGTTTGCATTGAGAAAGACATAATGTTCCACGATAATGACACAGATAAATCTCTACTGTAGAAACCTCATTACAAGTAATAATCTAGGAGGATAAGTACTTTCTTTTCGCCACTTTAAATATAAAAATTATAATCAGTCCTGTATAATATTTATTTAATGTTTTTTATTATTTTGTAAAATATAAATCACTTTTCTATGAACAAACTTTTTCGTTTTTATTTTTCAATAATAAAGACAAAAATATCGATCGGATTTAATTTTAATTTATATATTTTTAACCACAGACTTCAAAGTCTGTATAAAATTAAATGATAAAGCTATTCCAAGTGGCGTATCCCTTGGCCTCCTTACACAAGACAAACGATGTGTCGAAGAAGTAATTTTTTTTTTTTCAATTCAACGTGGGCTGCAAATTGGATATTTTATAAGCTCAACAGTTATCTGACATTTATTCATCGGGGTTTTATTTAATTCATCCGGACATCTAGAATTCCGACTCAGAAGCAGGCATTTTACATGTAAATATCCGTAATACTGTTCTGGTCCATAATAAAACTGAATGTCTATATCTTCAAAAATATGATACATGAAATACTCTTATATGAAATTATGAACATTCATCTAAAACTTCTTTAATTGATTTTATCCCAATCTTGACTTTTTTATTTACCAAATTCTCAAACATAAGACGTTTTCAATCGGTAAAAAAACAAAATAAAATCAGAAACTCTTCAAAAAATGTATTAATAATCTAAATTTAAATATGTACAAACTCAATGAAATTTAAAAAATCTACTGTGATTTAAAAAAAATATATAAAAGAACAACACTGAATAATTTTACCTCACAGCCAAAATGATACACCTCACTTCTTATTAACTTTTAAGTACTATTAACTTATTTCAACACTTTCCTAGCAAACCATTATTTTATAAAATTCCTTTCAGTTTGTTAGTAATGGTGTCGAACAATTATATGGTGTTTCCAGGATCATTCTTCGAGGAGATACTTTTGTTAGTCTTTTATGTTAGAAATTCTGTGTTTTCTAATTCCTAACCTCCATTTTTCCCGCATGTATTGAATTACATTAAGATCTAGTAACTGTGGTGGAGTTTTTATAACATTGTGACTGTTGTAAAATAGTCAATACTTAATAAAATGATAGAGTGTTCAAGACCATTTTCCTGATAAAACTAAAATTTTTTTATCACTTGATTTTCTGCAATTTCTTCTCAAAACGTCTATGTAGACATGTTTATTCACTATAACATGTGAATATTTCTACTATTATATGAAGATTTTCTACACCAGGATCCGCCGTACATCTCCACACCAACAAAAGTATGATAAGAAAAGAACATAAATCATAATATAACATAAGAAAATAACACATTACTAATATGTTTATTGGTTACAATAAATTATTGTTTTCGATTTATATAAATTGATGTATTTATTCATTCAATAATTTCCATCAATATCCAGGTGTATCATTTTGACTGGAAGCCACTGTGCATTAAAGGATTTATTTATTTTTTCCACGGAAAGTAGGCAATTAATGTTGGACCAATTAAAATATACAATTCAGAATATGTTATCGATAACGCAACCATACCATAAACCTAGAAGTCTGAGGAGAGACATTAGCTGCTTTATGATTTATATTTAAACATATTATGTCGATACTTGTGAAATTTATAAATTATTTTATAACTTTATTAAAAATAAGGAGAAAAATAATGATAAAATATCTCCGATACATAAGAAACAAGATTGGAAATTCAATTGAGCGAGATATCGAGAACAGGGACTTAATTAACTGAAGATGGTTCATTAATTGGAAGCTGAGTGGCCCTCGAAGGAGGGCTGCAAAGGACAACAGGAAAAAACGGGAGAGGCTGGCATTTGATGAAAAAAGGTAAGGAGGAGGAGCCAATTTGGCTAAGAGGTGGCTCGGTCCTAATGTCAGGGTCGCCTGCATCTTCTTCCCAGCTTTTCTTCTTCTTCTCTTCTTCGCTCTTTCCAACCGAATCGTTTGAATTTGTCGACCGGCAATGGCAATAATTCATTTATAATGCTTCCTCCCATTTATATCATTTATATTTATGGCTCGAAATAGTGTCAAAGTACTGACCTTATAAACATTTCAAAAAGTTAATCTAGGTTACGTACGTCCCGGGACTGCTGTACAAACTCCGAAAATTCCTACCATCTACCTACTTCCTCATTATCCGTTCCTACCTTACTGATAGATACTTTAAAGTAAATCACAACAATGTATATACATCCCGTTTTTCCATTCTGCAGGTGTTCCTCAAGGTAGTATCCTAGGTCCTATCCTTTACACAGTTTATACAGCTGACATCCCAACACTGTCATCACCACATATGCTGATGACACATGTATCCTATCAGTCAATAACGACCCATCTATTGCATCCCAAACCCTTCAATCCCACATCACAAACCTTGAAGAATGGTGTCAGAAATGGAGAATTAAAATAAATTCCAATAAATCCCATCAAATTACCTTCACCCTTCGTCGTAAACCAATGACTTCCTGTCCTTCAGTATCCTTTAACAACACCTCACTTATTCCTATTGAACAAATCCGTTGCCTAGGACTCCATCTGGACAAACGTCTAACTTGTAATCCTCATACCAGACTGAAACGACAAGAAACCGCTCGACGTTTCCGACTACTTCAACACTTACTAGACAAACACTCTAACCTTCCAATCAATTATAAAAGACTGATTTACATGACTATAATAAGGCCTATTTGGACTTACGGGGTTGAGCTATGGGGCTCCACCAAGCCTTCAAATTCCTCTTGCATACAGTCCCTGCAATCCAAAATCCTTCGTAAAATCCTCAATGCTCCTTACTTTGTTACAAATAAAATTATCCATAATGACCTTAATGTTCCATATGTATCAGATTTGGCCCAATCCAGATATCTTTCCTTCCATAATAAACTTCATAACCATCCCAACCCTCTTGTCTCTAACCTTGCTTCCTATTTGATTCCTGATAACCCTCCGAGGCGGCTGAAAAGAAGATGGCCACGTGATCTTCTAATTTAGACATATTATTAGAGTGCTACCAATGGGTAGTTTCTCAACATGTGTTCCATGTCTTTATACCAATGTGCAAATTTACTAGATGTATTTTTTTGTATACAGTTGTAAATATCATTTAAAATAAATAAAAAAAAAAAGGTTACGTACGTAATATTTTTGTTTTTTTAACCTCATTCTGAAATTATGCAACAGTTCATTTATTCGCACTGCTCGTTGCACAAATTTTATAACTGAAATTTACACGTATTATTAGATATCTAATAATTAATAACAAAACCATTTTTTTCAAGAAACCAGGATGAAAATCTGTATTTAGTGTTAGGAGAGTGAGAGTTCATAGGAGTCCAAATTTTCAGCCCAGTCCTCTATGCTCCACCGTGCTGCTCTCCTACGGCGTTTATTCGAATTATAATTTTGCGTTCCAGTTTTGGGTCTAAAATCTTTATTTTGTATTTGAAGAGGAAGTGATTAAAGGTGCATAAAATATATTTAAAATAAAGTATTACAAGGCCACTAAACACTATTTTTATACAATAGAGAGATTTGTCAATATATATATTTTATTAATGTTGGTTATGGATTAGAATTCTACATTAAAAAACAAAACTATTGACCCTCGAAATAAAGAAAAATGTCAAGAAATTTTTTTTTCTTCTGAAGTACTGGAAATGTAGTGAACTAACTATATAATCATTTTATTTCTAATAATAAAACCCCAAATATTGCATCCTTAACTCTTCAATCACACATCAGAAACCTTGAATGGTGTCAAAACTTGAGGATTAAAATAAATACCTTCGAATCATCGTTAACCTTCGCCGTAAGCCTATGACCTCCTGTTCTACAATATCCTTTAATAATATCCCATTTATCTCTATTGAACAATTTAAATACCTTGGACTTAACTTAGACAAATGTCTAAGTTGGAATCCTCATACCAGACTTAAACGACAAGAAACCACTCGACGTTTCCGACTACTCCAGCATTTACTAGGCAAACGCTCTAAGCTTCCAGTTAGTCACAAAAGACTCTTATACATGACTACAATAAGACCTATTTGGACTTACAGAGTTGAACTTTCGAGCTCCACTAAGCAATCGAATTCCTCTCGTATTCAATCCTTACAATCAAAATCCACCGTAAAATCCTCAATGCTCCTTACTTTGTCACAAATAAAATCATCCATAACGATCTTAATATTGCTTATGTTTCTGATCTAGCCCAATCAAGGTATCAACTCTTCCATAACAAATATCAGAACCATCCAAACCCTTTCGTTTCTAATCTTGCTTCCTCATCGATCTCCTTTTGTCCCAGATCTCCAGGAGATCTTGTGATCTCCTGTTGTAAATACATTTTTAGGGTGCTACCGGTGGGTAGTTTCTCAACAAGGGGTTTCATGTTATATTCATATTATATTCTTGTATTCACTCTTACTGAATGTATTTTTATTTTTGATACAGTTGCAAAGATCATAAATAATATAAAATAATAATAATAAAACATACACACTTGTTCTTTAAATTCAACTTTAGTTTTTCTTTCACTGTAGGTTATTGTTCATGGGCATCATGCTAAACAGAGATGACTAGTTCATATTATTTTTAAATATATAATATAAACAATATTTCATTTATTATTTATTATATTTTCTTAAAAATAATTAAATCAAGAAATTACAATAAAAGTAAATTGTGTTCTTAGAAAATTCTTTTTGGAAAATTTAAAAAAAATATCAGGCTAAATTAATTGGTAATTAAAAGAATAAAGAGATTAGAAGTACCAAGTGGGTTGCGTAAAAATAAAATTATTAGTTTTTAACTAATTTTAATAATACAAAATATAAATAAATCAATAATGTAACTTTAAAAAAATATTTTTAAACGTATATATTGACAATGGAAAATGTGTTATATAAACATATTCTTATGAGAAGAGGTATTAGTATTATATTAAACAATGTGACAATGAAAAATTAACACAAATATGTTTTCAATAATAATAATTATTATAGAACTATAATTAGGCTGTTTTATTCGTTCTTATAAATTTTTTTTAACTTGAAAAGAGCCGAAACGTTGGGAGAAAGAAAAAATAAAATAATACTTAAGAATCAATGGAAAGTCAAATGGGTCAAAAGGTGTCAATGTAGAAAAAAAAAAAACTTATAGGCAGTGTAAAATAAATAACGACTCCTACTTCTTTAATTCTATAAAAAAACAAAAAAACAACACGGCTAAAGTTTTTTTCCATAAGTCAAATCATTATTAACAAAACAGCTTCAATAATGTAAAAACCATTTAATTTTTTTTACATACGGCATCTGAATTTTTTTTCTTCTTGGAAGTTCAGAGGAAATGGAATTCTGTAAAGTCGAATATCGGACACTGTAATGGGAGGAAAAAATTGAGAAGATCCGTAGAAATGACGTTTCATCAGAAGGGAATGAGTCCAAAAGGTATTTTCAAAGGAAATATGAGAGGAATTCGTATTTCTCTTCGCTCTTTTCGTTTGTCATTCATTTTCACCAATACAATTCCGAAGGACACCGTGACCGAAAAATGTGGAATCGCAGATATGTCACGGACTGCCTTCTGTATATTCATTTTATTTTTTTACGATGTCATTAATAACCAGCCAGAAATCTTAGTAGCAATATTTTACAGGAGAATGTTACAATTTTGCGTTTAAAATTATATTTCATAATTTATGCTATACAGGATGTATATATTTATTCTTACGTTGTTAGTTGAAGACAAGGTAACATCGAAAGAGTATCTAAACAAGACATCCTGAATGTTGCTCAAATATGAGTCAAATATTACTATATATGAGAAAACTATAATAATTTTAAATTTAAACGACTTGAGTAAATGTTTCTCTTTTCGTGTAATACTCAAAATATCAATTGATTTAATAATAAAAGTTAGGATAATAATCAAAACAACAAAAATGAATAACAATAATATTATTTATGAACTTCACATATCATTTGATGCTTCAGAGTATTTAGTAAGGAAGAGTCATGGTATATATTATGAAATTTTTTCTCATTTTAGTGGGCCTCTCAAAAAATGAATGACTTACAAACAGGTAAATTAAAATGTTTTATAGTAGAATGCATTTGAACTAATATAGTCTTAAAGATTGAAATAATTGTTATTTTGTTTTTAACAGCTTTAAATTATCCTTGACGATGGGTCAGTATCTCGAAACGTTAGACAAAAGATAATAAATGAGTTTAACAGGGAGGAGAAAAATTTTCATTACATATACAATAGAATATTATTTATTAACTATATAATTTATAATTATGTAATTACAATATATAATTATCCTACTTTTAAAACAAAGCTTGTGTTATCCGAGCTTTGTGTTATCCAAGTGTATGGCAGTAATAACAAATGCGTTTAATATTGGTAGGAAAGAACATATAATTAAAAACTCATGTTATGAAAAAGTGTTATATAATAGAACCTTTTACAGATCGTTCTCCGTTTCGTCTTCGATCAGTAAGTACTGTTTAATGATCAGCTGCTATGATTAAATAAAAACTAAAATCATGTTCATAAATAGTGATTTTGTAAAAAGTTATATCGAGAAACAGAAGAATAAAATCTACTGGAATTGCAATAAAACAACTGTAAAGAGATCGGTAAAAAGCAATTATATAAATTTAATCTAAAAAAGAAGTAAATAATGAAGTTGTATGTATGCAAGGAACAAAGCAAACAAATCTCCCATATGAGAAATATATGAATATGAATCAATCAAAATAAAATAAGATATTGTAGATTGATGGTTGACTGTGGTGAATAATTGAACAGAAGATATATCGGGGTGTTCAGTTAAAAAAAAAGAAGTAAAATCTAGGATTAATTCATCCTAGTCAAACGATAGATTCCCGCAAAACAGCCTGCCTAAGATAACCTGGTTTTCTAGTGGGAATCTCTCGTTTAGCCAGCCCTGATGAAGGCCTGAGCTATGGGCCAAACGTAGGCAAAAAATGAATATAATTTATTTATTTTAACATTTTTTGACTGAATACCCTAATCAATCTTCCTTTCAATAAAATAAGATAACCTAACCTAAAAAAAGTGAAGTCTCGTTTTCATGCTATAATAGGTTTGCAGGAGTTATAAATTGTGGGACAGTAAAAATTTTGGATCATAGTTTGAAAAAACCTGTTGCCGGTGTTAGCTGTTATCACTGGATTTAGACACCAACCGATCTGTGCTACCTAATCCAACTTGTAAAAGAGTTGTAAAATATGAGTGTTAACCAAAAGGAGTTATCTCAAATAATGTACATTTTAGGAACTATACAAGATTTTGCATCAAAATCTACACCCAATATATTTCGTCCCAATCAGTCGACTTTTGAAACGTTCCAATTGGTTCTATTACTTTTACTGTACTTCCAGTAAGATTTAAAATTGTCATTGGATTAGTTCTCCAAGAAATTCCCTTTCGTTTGGTACATCATTCATCAAAATACATCGCTCCTGGAGATTCAATACTATCGTATTGTACATTGCATTATACGTAGAATGATAGGCTTCATACCCACTTACAAATCTAAAATAAATATTTTGATAGAACGCAATAAAGCTAACGAACCACGATCCTCGCTATAAATGGCCGTTGCTCAAAGTGTTTTGTCCACTTGCGATATTTATGCGGGCCTCTGCGGCGGTTGAAGGGTCTGATGTATGGAAATGGACCCGCCCAGGAGGGAATTTCAATAAGACTTATCAGGGCGAGAGGAGAATTGCGTTAGTAGGTTATATAACCTATAGCGGTGGGAGGTATAGGTCAAGTGGGTCTACCTTCAATTGAAAGGTTAGTCTCATTGGGATCCATTAATAGTTCTATTGATCCGGGTCGTTAGATTATTGGCTAATGAAGAGAAATGGTTGGTGTCAACAAACGCTGTCGAGCGCTAACTTGCCCGCGCATTAGCACATTTTGTAGTCCGTGTTTTCGAACCTGTATGAGCTTGCTCTATAATAAACTCCCTATTATAATGTAAATAAAATTTTTACATTGCCTTATTTTTATCCAGGAACAATCACGCAAACAACAAATTTATATATTACTTACCTATGCCTGAAAGCACATTAAAAAAAAAAAAAATATGGCAGGGATAATTTTGAAAATTTCATAAAGCCAAAGCCTTAAGGCTCTCAAAGGCGAGTACAATTTTTCGTTTACACTTGTAGTGGCCAAACACGATCCGTCCATTCGTCCAGATGTAGAGATATCCATTATTGTATCGTCTGCTTAGCCAGGTGATGTCGATGAAATGAAATTTTATCTTTCATTTCTAATCAGTTTCGGTTCAACTGGAATCTTTATTATAATTTTTTCCTGTTATTTCGGAACTAAATTTTTTTGTTGCAACTTTTTAAGTAAATGTTTTTGAAAGAATTCAAATTAAAAAAAAAGGGAAACATTTAAATGTTTTTTTTGAGTTTTATAAAAAGACAATCTAAAAAATAACTTTTATTCTTCGAAACTCAAAAAAAAAAGAAGAAGAAAATTAGATTCAGGTGATGCTTTTTTTCAGAACTTAAATAAATAAAATAAAAAAACTTTCGTCATAAACCTGAAACTTTTTTACAAAAAAGATCCTTGATTATTATTTAAATTTTTTTTTTCCCAAAAGGTTTCACAGAAACTGTTAAAAATGAACTATTAAAAAAAGTCCATGAAAGTTTCGACCCCTATGAACTAATGAACTAAAACGTTATTTGCATATTCATACAAATTAATATCGGTCAGTTCGGTCCAGTCTGACATGAAGCCATCTGATAGTGTGAGAAGAAAAACAAAAAGCGCCATCACAAGAGTTGCACATCCACTCCCACCAAGGCCTCTTCCACAAGTAATTTTAGTGCTCTCCACTTCTTAAAAGTAGGGCAAGCGAAAGTAGAATTATAAAAATTGTACTCTACATACATCATCTACAATTATACTTAATAGTATAAACTGAAACAGATTGTAATATTTGTCAATAAACAATTAAAAAAAAAATAGTGTAACGATATTTAAATTAAACATATCTAGTGTTGCACAAATGCAAGACCAAGCTTGCGCAATCAGTCGTGGTCTTGGTCTTGCGGAATCAGTCGTGGTCTTGGTCTTGGTCTTGCGCAAGAGTCTCGCAAGAGTCTTGCATGGTACATTGCTTATACCAATCCTTTACACACAATAACTAAAATTGCCAAGCATTAGTCATTATTGTGCCTTAATTTTTACTTTCACTTACCAATATATGTAATATATAGTAAGGGAAGGTATTGCGATCTTGAAAATTTCCGAACCTGAGTTTTCAACAGAAATACATGTTTTGAGGTACTCTGAGTCCAAATAACCAAGCCCCTCAAATTGGGCTGTGTGTCTGTATGTCTGTGTGTGTGTATGTTAGCAATCTAGCTCAAAAACTAAAAATCGTACGAAACTGATATTACGAATTTAAGAAAGGTATATACCTTGGTTGTTACAGCAACTATTTCTTTAAAATAGGTTTACCGGAAGCGCCACTTTGTATCAACGCTGAAAAACATTTTACAAGTTTTTCAAATACGGCTCGGCTCTAACGATTTTGATTAAACTCGGTGTATGGCTAATGCAATGTATCAATGTATTATGCAGTAGCCTTCAATATCAATCAGGTTTTATCCCCATCGATGTCACTTTACAGAGCTTAACTGTCCAATATTCATATGAGTCTTCCTCTAAAGTAAGTTTAATATGGCTTATTTTAAATAATTAATCATCCCAAATTATTTAGAGTTAGTATTTGATAATTGAATAAAGGAGAAAAAAAAATAAAAATGCTTATCCAGATAGAAAATAAATCTCCGGAAATAACAGTCAGAAAGTATAAGCATAATACATCGTTGCAAAGCGGAGAATTTTAGAAAAAACGACAATATTTAATATATAAAGTTGTAGAAGGTAATAGAGAGTGGTTAAAAAATTATAAATAATAATTTTTGAAACTTAATATTATTTAACGTTAATTACATGTTTTCAAGGAAATTAAATGAAATTTATAACCAAAATGCAAACTTTCAAAATATTTCTATGTTTGAAAAAATATTTAAAATCCACCTAATCCAGGCAATACCATTGTTTAAAAAAACTATTTCATTGTATTTGTATGAGAGAATAAGTGAAACATGAAATTATTTCATAAATGTATAAAACATATGTTTATAATATTAAATAAATTTACTATAGTATAATAATTCTAGATTTGATATTATATTCGAATAATTAGGTATCAACGTCCGTTTATTCCGAAAAATAGTCATGTAACTTAAAAAAAAATTAAATTAGTGAATAATTGGATGCATTTTCCTTTGTGAAATCCCTAAATTATCCTGTCTTCCTCTAAAGTACCTACAATTTGGTTTATTATAAATAATAAGTGTTTCTCATTGTTAGAAGTTATGAATAAATGCTAAATATAACTTTTGAAAGAATTTGATAATTGAATATAGGAGAAAAAAAGAAAAATACATGGATAAGCACGGTTATTAATGCAATTCGAAATTTTATAATAGCCCAAAATGGCCAGAAAATAATTTCAATTCAAAGTTGAGTGGTAAGTGAAACTTTTGTGTTGAGCGGACCAGATTTTTATTCATGAAAACGATTTGTTACTTTTTTTTCACCAGTCTTGGGCAACACTGAGCATATCGTTAATACAAATGCTAACTATCGAATATAAAAACATTTTCATAAAAGAATTTTCAATCCTGCACGTCTGCTTTTTCAATTGTAATTAATTGATTTTAAAGAGCAAATAAAAAATCTTCAAACATGTTTGTGTACTATAGGGGAGCGGGGTAGCTTAGGCGTGCACTGACTTCCAGAGCTCAAGGTTTTAGGTTCAAATCCGGCTGATGAGTAGTAATTTTTCATCAGCCATGAATCGACCCAGGGGCTTCTGGAGCACACACAGCCTCTATAAAGTGGGTATTATTAATTAAATAATAATTTAAAGGGGAAAGCCTGGCAGTTGAGCATGATAGCCCAATTACCTCTGTGCACAACCATTAGCCTTGTTACAGTACTTCCTCACATTCTACTGAGCTCAAGATACTTCATGGGTTGTTAATGGTACAAGTTTTTCTTCTTTTTTTACATGTTAGTGTGGAAATTAAAACATCCTCATTATTTGGGCTTCATTAATAATGATACCAGAATTGTGATTTCCAGATTCGATTGTTAACAGCGACGATATGTTCCTAAGTTCCTCCAATAATTTTAATCTTTCTTTTTCTCTTTATATCTATCCCTTCCTAGCATTTTAGGCAATAAGTATTTTTTCCCGTAGGGCGGTGGATTAATGGCAGAGTTAAAAGCCTCTTCGAAACCTCGACGCGAACTTATAAGTATTTTAATATATATTCTCAAGTTTATCAGGTTGCTAGACAACGCGTTTCACACACCCGTTAGCCCATTCGGCTATCTTGCTCAAAAACATTTGAATTTGAAAACTCTATAAATGTTGCTACCTCCGAAATTTCATGCCCAAACAGAATTTTCCTTCTTAAAAATTGAAACCTTCTGCACTCCACTACTTCAGTCGAACTGTTACGACGAAACCATTGTCCAAACGGTTAGTCTGTCACCAACCACCAAGCACCTTTTTTTCAAATGTAATACAGAAATTTTTATTATGTTTTATCTTATTTTTCTGGTATCCTAATGCGATCTTATGATATCTTATTAGTAATAAACGATATAGTTTTAGCTGGCATGGCTACCAATAATAGGAGGATACTAAAAAGGATGAGCTGTATGAGAGACCTTCCTTAACAAACCGTGGTAGTGGTAGTGGAATCAAGCCAGGGTAGAGCTATTTCTTTCTGGATACTATCGTTCCCCATGCCTGAGATATCGGTTTCATTACTTTCTCAGACCATCTGCTGATTGCCAACAGTTCGCCAGTGGGTGCAGTAGATTAATAATAGAAAAATACAATATATATATATATATATATATATATATATATATATATATATATATATATATATATATATATATATATATATATATATATACAATATATATATAATATTGTATTCATATATACAATATATATATATATATATATATATATATATATATTGTATTTTTCTATTATTAATCTACTGCACCCACTGGCGAACTGTTGGCAATCAGCAGATGGTCTGAGAAAGTAATGAAACCGATATCTCAGGCATGGGGAACGATAGTATCCAGAAAGAAATAGCTCTACCCTGGTGCAGTAGATTAATAATAGAAAAATACAATATATATATATATATATATATATATATATATATATATATATATATATATATATATATATATATATATATTGTATATATGAAACCGATATATGAAACACGGCTAACGCGTGTGTGAAAACAAATAAATAAGAAAAATTAAAATAAATTTGGTTGATTGATTTAACCTTGATTACCTATGTAAAACGTAAAAAGAAAGACATATTTTTTAGGCGATCAACTAAGTAATTGACACATGATAGTAGAATACCAATCAGTGAAATAATAACCTGTTTATCAATGTTCCTCTAGACATTGCAGTTTCAGGTTCAAGGGAACTGAATGTAGTTTGACCACCAATTGCTTAGAGCCACCTATATAAGCCGATCCTAGTTACCACAGAGACAGTATCCAATCATGACAAGACTAGTAAGTATCTTTTAAAAGAATATATATATATATATATATATATATATATATATATATATATATATATATATATATATATATATATATATATATATATTGTATGTATGTATATATGCTTGCGTCAGCATTCAGTATTTCGAATATTTTTTATTTACTTTCATTGTTACAGGTATTCCTCATCACTGCCTTCCTCGGCCTTGCTTCTGCAGCTCCCCAATATGGCTACCACGCTCCAGTTGTCGCCCATGCTCCAGTAGCTGTCGCTCACGCTCCAGTCGCTTACGCTAGACCCGTCGCTTATGCTAGACCCGTCGCTTATGCTAGGCCTGTTGCCTATGCTAGGCCCTACGCCGCTCCAGTCGCCGTAGCCCATGCCCCCGTCGCCGTAGCTGCTCCCAGGGTTGAACCATACGACCCACATCCATCATACGCCTTCTCTTACTCTGTCAACGATCATTCTACCGGAGACTCTAAAGGACAACAAGAGACTCGTGACGGAGATGTCGTACATGGAAGTTATTCTCTTGCCGAACCCGACGGTTCCATCAGGACCGTAGACTACACCGCCGATCCAGTTAATGGATTCAACGCCGTCGTTCACAGAGAAGCAGGAGCACACCCCGCACCAGTAGCAGTCGCTCATGCTCCAGTCGCCGTAGCTCATGCTCCGGTCGCTGTAGCACACGCTCCAGCGTATGGTTATCATTAAGCAATTTATGTTCACTAATTACTCCACATAAGACAAGAGGTCATAGCCGACTGTATGTGATTTATTATAATCCTATGGATTATACGATTCTATGTATTTTGTATTGATGAAATATTATACGTTTTTTAATTAGTTATTTTTTTGTTGTTTAGTCAGGATTCGCTCTTGAAATGATATCCTCATAATACAAAGGTCATACAATTTTATTTATAAGATTTATAAATATGAAGTAAGCATTTATTCTTATGAAGTCCATAAGAATTGTTGCATAGATGTCAAGATTGCAGTAATAATTGCCCGTATAAAATGAAATAATAGGTGAAAATGCAATGAAAATATTTTTTTCAAAATATCAAAAACCATCTATCAATAAATAGACTATCATAAAGACAGGATAGAAGCAATCAAACTATATTTCCACGATTTCTTCTTGTAATTTTGTTTTAGGGGGAAGTTTTTGTCACACAGGTAAAGTTGGTAATTATAACTTCCTTGTTACTTTTATTTATTACATCAGTTACATTGTTTAGAAATTACGCAATAATATTTACAACTATATTATTATATACTACTAATAGTTCTGAAGAGAATAGACGTTACGAAAAAAAATCTAATATCTGCTTTTCATTGCAGCTTTTAAAAATTTAATCAAAGCTACTCGTGTAACTCATTAAAAAGACATTGTTTTCAAGAACACTTACTCTTTCCAGGGATTCTACTTATCATTTCTCGGGACACCGATCAGGTTTTAATTTTTCACTTAGGAGTATTTACAGTTAAGAGTGAAATGAAACAATTAAATGTTAAACAACTTTCTTCCTAGTGAATTTTTCGCCGACTGAAGAAATTAAAAGTTGACTAGGCACAGAAGATGCCTAACCATTTTTTCGAAACATTTCTTTTTTTCGATACAAGCGATTATAGAGCACGAATATCTCGGAATATATGCGAGAAAGTGAAAGAATGAATGTCATTGATAAACTTGGAAATATTATAAAATCAAATGACATTCTGGGTGCTCTCTGCCCTCACATCAGGCTTATCTTCTAGAAGTGGTGAGCTTTAGCATATTTACCTCCTAACTCGTCCGAATAACATCCAAAAATTGTGTCCTTTCTATTTCCCTCTATACTTTATTTTTGAACACTCATTGACTAGACTAAATACAGTGTCATTTTTTACACTCATTCAATAGTTTCACTTTTTGAAATCTTTTCCTTTAGTCCAGATGAAGATTTACTACATGAAAAAAAACAACGTCGGCATTAAAAAAAAAAAAATTACCTACTTGACTTCACTTGAATCATCGGGTCTGATTCTACATTATTTGCAAAAAAAATCATCATTGTTAATTATTTGAGTAACTATTTAAAATTTTATAATCAACGCGTTAAAATTGGCATTACTTCCAAAGCACCCATTGAACCCAATCAGAGGGGATTGAATATATAATTCAGAGAAACATGATACAACGAAGAATTATTGAATTAATCCCATCTCTGGATCAAAATATGAAATTACATTGTATACAACGGATTCCAAAGAGTATCAAACCTCCTTGGCGGCATCACGATATAAATATAAATATATCACTGTCAAAAGTTTCCAAAAAATCAATATCTCCAGTTCTCTCTGCTTTTAGAATAATTCAATGTATTGTATACATATGCTTCGAAAGGTGATGACTCTATAGTAGGATGTGCTGTGATTAGAGAAAGTGGAACTTTTCTTTACCAATTGCCCGGTACCTGCTCAATGTTCACGGGAAAAAGGCAACTGCCGTAAAGGAAAAGCTTCTGCTTTTCCAAGTAGGCAACTACAAAAAATCAATCATTGTAACTGATGCAATGAGTGAGCTATTGACAATCTAAAACCAAATATCTAAACAGAGGATGATAGTGGAAATTTTAGAACTTATTGGGGCCAGTAAAAATTCAGGAAACATAATAGCTTTCATTTGGGCTCCATCCCACTGTGATATACAAGGAAACGAAGAGGCAAACGCCGCATTCTGAATAGCTTTAAGGGATATTAATAATAAGGTGGTCAAATCTATTGATTATGTTTTTCGGGAGGACTGGGCAAGGCATGCAAAACTCCACCTAACAAATCAATGGAATGGGAATTGGGGAAGGAACCCCTCAAAACTTGCCCAGGTCAAACCAAACAGGGCTAAATGGTGCTATTCTCCACGATCGAAAACCACCTACATGCATTAGGTTTGGATCCCCTAGAACTGTGAATCACATCCTCGTAGACAACACACATTATGCGGTTACATGGAAGAACCTCAATATACATGAGACTATCCGAGAGGTGTTGCAGGATGTGGAGAGAGAAGTGGAAATTTTAATGGATTTCTCCAAAATAATTAGATTCTGCAATAGAATATGAGAAGCGTGAGTGTACAGATGATTGCCAACCCTAGCGGGTAGAGGTTAATAAATAACAGTGTTTCCATTGATGAAAGATGAATGAATTTTAATAGATTTAATCTCATAAGAATCCAAAAAGCTCAGACAGAGATAATTCATAATCTTAACCTAATGACAAACAATTAAATTAAAATCGATCATAACTGTATCGGTAAGAAGAATTTGACTTAAATCCCCGTCATTTTTATTTTTTGTTCTTGTTAGGCTAATCCCCCTCCTCCCCTTTCGTGGGGTATATGTCGTAAGTTCGAAGCACGCATCATTTATATAGGCATGATCCGAGTAAAAAAAATATTATAAAATACATTAAAAAATCTTTAAATCGATATAAAATGCTGGGCGCCGTATTACAAATATTTGATAAAAATAGGTGAAATACTTTATTAAAGCTTTTTATTAAATTTTGAAATAAATTATCAGCATTTTTTTTTTTCATTACAACAGTTAATTTGATGAAAATTTTAACCATTAAAATCATTCCTAGCGACAATTTTGATTTTGTTCTAATTCTATAACCTTTCTACAATAAAAAGTAATAGAGACTGAATTTCCATTCAATAATTATTTAAGAGGCAGCAGGGTGGCTTAGTGGGTAACCACTGACTTCTTAAGCTCAAGGATCTGAGTGCGAATCCGGCTGATGACAAGTAATCTTTCATCAGTTTTGGATGAACTATGGGATCGGGAGACCCTCATTTGTCATACCCAGGTTGTATAAAATGTACTGTTAATTAAATGGTTAACGTTACTTCCTTACAAAGTATTGAATGCAACACCAATTGTGGGATATATGCAGGTTATTTTAAGTTGTTTAATCAATTATTATTATTAATATAAATTAAATAGTGTTAATATATAAAAAAAAGAGGAAGCAAGCATAAGCCCACACAATTAATTCTAAGGAACAAGATTCGAGAACCAGCTCATGGATGCAATATGGGTGGAAGTCGCTGCTGCAGATGTGTTGAAGCTACTGCTTTTAACCTAATTAGGTATAATGGTAAACATGTTCTTACGAAACTAAAGAGGTTAAACCGGATATTTTTTGCTTCGTTTCGAAGGACATATTTTCCTCTAAGATGTAAAAAGAAAAAAGATATTACGAAATTAATATTTATTCTAAATAGATACACCTACACTACAAATCATCATTATCTAGGGCACTAGTGAATTTAATTCATGAGGCAATGACTTTATAGTCTGGTAATATAAAGCGTATGATTTATTTTAATACTTTCAGTGCTATAAAGTTTAATTGAATTCACATGACTTTTTTTTTTTAACTGGTAAGTGAAACTATGTAGCTGACAAGCGTGAAATATTGATAGCTTAATTTATATAAAGTGCTTTTAATTTTAGCTTATGAGGAGACTTTAGAACATTAAATCAACGATTTTTAGTTTTGCATTTGCCATATATGATCAAACTGGTAGCATTTTTGCGTTATTGAAGATATGGGCGTGGTGGAAATGTTGCTAGGTAGCGAACGTGTCAATTGAATAATATAGAAATAAATTTTTAATGTCAATTTCAACCGAGGTATTAAAGTAGAAAATCTTATTTTACATAAAATTCAAATGTATATATCAAGATCAGCAAAGATTCAATACACTTACGAATTATATATATATATATATATATATATATATATATATATATATATATATATATATATATATATAATATATATATATATATATATATATATATATATTAGTAAATGAGTTCTGTTTATATTTTTCATTGTCATAAAAACTTTAAGAATAATTGAGTACAATAATATGGAAGTGGTTGTATATATGGGACCACTCTTTTTTTTTGGACTTATTAATGTTAGCTATTCCAAAAAACACTATTCTCTTTTATGATAATGGAAATAATGAAATGGTGTTTGTATTAAGAACACCATAGTTTTTTTAAATGTTATTAGTTTTTTACAAATAATTCAGGTTTTTTTATTTTCCTTCACTAGAGTGATTCTTAAAGATGTTTGTCGTATTACGAAGCACTGGGACCAGCATCGCCATTTCGTATTTGAAATTTCTCAAAAAAAAAAAAAAAACATTTCCCTTTGAACTAATGTATAGTATAGATACCTATCTCTTGTTTTGAAACAAAACCAAAAATAACAGTTTGAAGTTATGCTCTTTAGATTTTAAATAACAATAGATAACGAAAAAAATGATTAACACCACCACGCGATGGCAATTAGATCAATAACCTACTCCGAAAATTAACATTTACTAACTTAATTAACAAACTGTCGATTCAGTTAAACTCTCTGTCACTTACATCCTAATATAATGTTCAATAATACACATAGTGTTTTATATTACCACAATATTCTCCTATTCCGGGAACTATATATATTCTCCAAATTGGAATATAATAGTAAAATAAATTAATATATAGAGTGATTTAGTTGAGTTTGTGACATGAGGTACCATATTAGCATAGTAAAATATCTCCCAGATTACCCGAAAATATATGACTACCCTTAAACAAAGCCTAAGATTCCGTGATTGTATTGCTCTAAAAACCAGAAAACTCCTTGTAACCGCCTTATACTCTCTCACTTCGACGGCTGCTTGGTGTATGGAGAGCTATCTGTCAGGCTTGAAATTAGATTAAAGAAACTCATGAACTGATAATACATCTTTGAGATTCCCAAGCATTCCCATGTTTTATTCTGGTACACCGA